TTCCTCAAGATATAACTTTTCTCCCCCAAACAAAACATTTCAAGCCTTTTCCATCCTAAGGACAATACTCAATATGTAAATCTCATGCTGTCACCCCATTCTGACCCCTAAAGAAAAATCAAAACTGTTTCTAGCCAAGCAATACAGCAGGCAGAACTATGAGCTACTGCCCAGTTGTATTAAGAAGCCATCATCACTCTTAACTCATGTTGGACTGTACTCACCAAGCCCTAAGAGAAAGGAAACCTCACCTCCAAGCTATATGTGTGCAACTAATGCTGTAGATCTGTCCTCAGCAAGCTCTGATTAAACTGGAGAAATCTTCTCTGTTTAGACAAAACTTATCGCTGCTTTGGCAATTTCATGTTTTGTTTACAGTGGCTACCTTGCCTCTTCTTCTGGCAAAGAAACAAAGATTTAGCAGAATGTCGAAAAAAAAATCCAGGAGTAAAAATGCACTGACTTCCCATCAAGTGTTACAAGTTCCTAATGGCTTCCCTTTCACAATTAAGAAAATACTGTACTTCCAGTGATCATCAAGTATTTGTTCAAAAATTGCTTTAAAAACCACGTTTGGAGCCCCCACTGTGCTGGCTAATGTCCATTGTGTTTCTAAGGGCCTTCAGAAAGTATTCCCTCCTCCATGTTCTGCACTGTAAATGAGCACTTAGGCAAAGAGGAAGGAATAGTGTGTAAAAGCCAACCCTGCTTTTAAATAGCTCTCTATCTTTTCCTACTATTTTCTGCACACTTCTTCCCCTTAGACACTTTGAATTTCACATCTGATTTCATGTTTTTATATTTTAAATTTTTTCACAGGAAGGACTCTCCCTCTGGAACTTCACATGAGGGGATTAGTGATTTTCTGACCCTTTGTCCATTGAATTTTTTTCAGTCTCTTCTCCACAGAGAAATCAATGTATAATCAGCAATGCCTCAGCATGTTAAAGGACAATAAAAACAAAGAATCCTGACACCAAACCACTACAAGTTTAGCAAAAAGTGCCACCAGCCACCTCTGTCTTTAAACCTCATCGCTGGCTGTGGAGGTGCAGCCCAATCCCTGGGGTGGTCTCTAACCTCACCTCACTGTGCACTGAGCCATTTCAGATCACCAAGCTGACACAAAACTGTATTTTTCCTTAGGTTAGCTTTCTGCTGGTGCAGGATCAAAGACCAGAGCCAATGGAATGACACGTGGAGAAGCAGGTGGGGGACAGGACTGCACACCTCAGTAAGGGGAACTCGCCAGAGAGCACCAGGCTGCACATACCAGGGCTTCACCTTGCACTGTGTCCATCCAGAACGAGCACTTTGTGGAGAACAGTAGGACACACTCAATATTACAGAAGAAAAGACAGATGTGGGTCTCAAAGTATTAAATCATCCTGCTCTGTGCTGTTACAGGCAAGCTTGTCCCAAGCATGGTTAACCAGGAGAGGACAGAACTGAAACCTTGCTGTCAGACCCAGGAAACTTTCCAGTGCAGACATGACTCCAGTCCAGGGTTGAAGCTCAGCTCTTCCCTTTGTCCAGGCTCACAAAAGGAAATAAAAGTAAAATCCTTGACACTACACAGCACACTTGAACAGGAAAAAGGTAATGGCCACCCAGCACCACTGCCATTCAGAAGGCAAGTGTGTGGCTCACCCCTGGGAACACCAAAGATTTTTATAATTTCTGCTATGCACTTCAATCTAACAGTATGTTGTTTACATGATTTTAATATGAACAGGAACACAACAGAAAACGCTTCTAAGATAGGATCTTAGTGATTATGGGAGTGTTCTTCAAAACACAGTGAGAATGGAATAAGACAAGTGGTATTTACCATAGCTTCCTCACCACTTCTGGATCACAAAGAGAGCCAGATCCACCCTAATTATCTTCTTACTTAACAAAATACCTATACTGACAAAATAAACTTCTATGAGACATATTCTGCAAATGACCTTACTCCCTACTAAGTTAGATCAGAAATATATCCTTGCAGAAGTGACAGACATGAGAGACAACAGCAGCAGTATATCTTGTCTGTCTTTGCTAGAAAGAAAATTACACCTGAAAACCAAGTACCTGGAAACCACCTAATGTTGAGTATGCAAGGGTTGTGTCAAAGTGGAACTCACTAGTGCAGAGTCAGCTACCTACAACATCTTTAAAACAAATCTCTGAAATTGCTGCCATATCTATTGTTCTCTACAAAACGTCCTCATTACAGGAAATCCACTACTAGGATACATCTGAAGATGTAATTATTAGTGTGATATTTGTTTCTCTTCTAATGAATCTCACCAAGCATAAAACCTGAGACTGTCCTACTACTCATTAAAAACATGTTATTCTGGAGACAAAAATGGTGAATAGAGCTAGAGATAAAAACTGCACAATTGGAAATGTTATTTAGCTGCAAGTAAACACTTAAAGTTCTTCAGTTTAGCTTACACCAGAATTTAACAGCAGGACATAGATAACTTTTTCAAATAGTCTAACTTGAGGCCTAAGCCACCTTATCTGCACATAATTTTAATGCCAACATCTGGTCCTGTACAGGCAACACTTAATTCAGTCTACTTAAAATAATATCCAACTATCCAAAGAGTTTTACTTCAGGCAGCTGTATTTCAGCAGGATTGAACTTAAAATTAGGCTGTCCCATCAAAACCACCTTCTCTTCATCGAGATATTGCTAACAGAGGAGAAAAACCTTCTGTCAAGTTCAAAAGACAAACTGAGGTTCAAGTTTATCAATGTATTTCAGCCCATGGATAAAAGGAAGAGGAGTCCTAAAAATGGCAAACATACCAGTCAGAACTAGGCCAATGTTGTGGAGAATCTAATATGAAGGCTCAAGCCAATCGTTGATTAGGTTTGTCCTTGGACATAAGCAGCAGAAACTATGGCACACTATGAGGAGGCAAGGCACAAAGGCAAGGAAAATATAGGCTGAAGAAAAGTATACCAAAAACTGTATTTATTGCAACACAAGCTGTTATTCTGTAATCCTCAAATATGAAAACAAACCTTCCCTAGTGTCAAAATGTATCAGTTTTCCATGGTTTTCACTATTATGTGCTATCTGCTAAAGCTGTTTTTCAGACACTGAGGATCCTAACTGTATTGTTCAATTTTTTTAATATATATATATATATATGTATATATTTGAGGTGGTATTTTTGAAACGTTTCATCTGAAGCACTCCAAGCTGATAACCTTTATCCAAATACATAAAACAAGAGCCATGTCAAACACACTATAAATAGCATTAATAGTAAGGAATCAATAACATCCAAACCTTTAGGTAACATCTTATTAATCCGCCCTTGGCATGCATGGGCACACTGCTGTAACGGCTCTCAAAATGCAATAGTCAAAGGTGAAGGACACAATTTGTTCAACTAGTTAATGCAACTGCTATTTAACCAACAGAGCCACTAAAATGCCACCTAATGAAATACTCCATACCATGATAAGCAGCAGAGACAAGCACGATAAACATGAAACGTTTTTCTAAGAAAATATATTAGAAGTCCTCAGGGCTGTTACCGATCTGTCATATTTTTTTTTTCGAAGGCATGTAAAGATCTACATTTGACAACAACCATTTTAATCTCTGGTTCTCTCTCCCCCCCCCCACCTCATTTCTTGTACCGCGCCCAACACAATGGTACAACTGCATCTCCCAGGTATCGCCTTGGTATTTATTTCTGCTTTCACAGTGACAAAGGTCAACTCTAATGCTCCAAAGATGCTTGCAGCAAAGCTGGGTGAGAGATATTTCTAACGACATACCCACACGCGGGTTACAGAAATCCAGCCTCCATGAGATGTTTTAATCTGACAAATTAAAATGGTTGGGAAACGCTATTTGGGTAACGGAATCGGCCGCCACATGCATTGCTGAGGGGGGAGCAATAAAAGGTCTTTAAAATAGGTCACTTTCAGCCAAATCCCACACCAGCACCGAACAAAATGGTATATACACTGAAAACTCACCGCTTGGGGAGGAGCGAGGGGCATGGAGGAGGAAAAAAAAAAAAAAAAATACATTAAACCCCAAAAAGTCCGCGCGGGTCTCACAGGGACCCCAAACCCCCTCTGGGGGTCGGGGCTCGGCGAGCGGAGCCCCCGGGGGAGCCGCAGACAAAAAGGGCCGCGGCGCTGGGCACGCCTGGCCGCGGGGCCGGCCCCGGCCCCAGCCCCAGCCCTGGGCCTCCGGCGGCCCCTGACAGCGGGGAACACCCCTCCGCCCGCGGCCGCCCCTCCGCGGGAAGCGCCATTTCGCCGCCCGCTCCCCCGCCGGTGCTCGGCGGCGGCGGCCCCGACCCTGCGGCACTGCCGCAGAGCGCGGCGGGGGAGGCGCCGGCCCCACCGGGCCGCCCCCCCCCCCCCCCCGCCGCGCTGCCTGCCTTACCCTCCGCCGCAGCCGGGCTGGGAGCGCCGGTCGGCCCCCCGCGGAGGAGGAGGAGGAGGAGAAGGAGGAGGAGGAGGAGCGGGGCAAGGGGCGGCGGCCCCGCGGGGGGAGGCGCCCCCGGAGGGGCGTCGGGCCCGGCCCCCGCGGGTGCCCGGGCGCGGCGGGCACAAAGGCGGCGGGGCACGGCACCTAAGATGGCAGGGCGGGCGCGGCGGAGCGCTCAGCCGCCGCCGCCACCACCACCACCACGGCC